TGTTGGAATTGTTGGCATTGATATTATTTATTTCTAAGTTAAACTTAGTGATTGATGATAATATTGTTCCTAATGAAAATATATATATGTAACCCTTAAACATAAAGTAACTTGTTTGACGGTTTTATTAAGGTCAAAGACACATTAACCCTCATAAACAAAAACCTCAAATTAGTAATGCATATTCTATGGGATACATTATGGTATCACGATTGTGACGTCTTATGAGTGTCATTGGTATAAGTACATATCAGTGCAATGTATATAACACTTTAGGAAGAGTTCTAATTATCATCGACCATATCGGTGCATTGTACTCTTTTTCCTATGACCAAGTTTTATTTTTCCCATTGGGTTTTGTTACTTGGCAAGGTTTTAATGAGACAATAAGAATGCATCGCTCTTTGATTTTATTTGGCACACAAAACAATATTGTTTTGAGAAAATTTATTTAGTGTCATCATCAGAGGTAACAGATGCTTGAATTCAAAAGCAATATAAAAGTGCATATGTGTGACCCTATTGATTGATGTAATAATCAGGGACAGGTGTAGACTCCAGGGGGAGTCAAGCACCCATATCATAATACTCTTTTATGCCAAGATTTCTTTTCCCATCGGGTGTTTGTTTCTTGGCAAACAGAAGTTAACATTCAGTTGAGGAATTCTTCCATATTCTACAAAAGTTGTACTCTTTCCGTTCACTCAAGGTTATTTTTCCCGAGAGGTTCTCTTACTTGAAGATGCGTTATGAGGCAACAAGACATTTACCTTTCTATCTACAACTCAGCACAAGGGGGAGTGTTAAAGACAACTGCAAATTGTGTACTATCGTGTAAATATAATATGTATTACGGATTGTACTTTGTAGTTTATGTATTGTGGGCCCATTGAGCTTTAACTTTTAAACCTTAATCTCACCTCATAGAGACATTCCGGAATGAAAAAGTAAGAGAAAGAGTCTCCTTCAACATCTTCCACATTCTTCGGTAATTCCGTTTCTCAATTCGGCATGGCCATCGCTACTCCCGAGCTTTACTACTCGAGATTATCGACGTCATATTCCCGGCAATCGTCTCCGTCCATCATCGCCCCTCAACGGCGGCGCTTCATGAGAATTAAATCTGTTCTCGGCGTCGAATCTCCCGCACCTTCCGCGGCCGCTGACCACAACGGTGGATATCCCAAACTGTTGCTCGAAGTCAAAGGTCTCTCCGCCGTCATCTCCAAGTCGAAACAGCCGGTTCTCAAAGGAGTTAACCTAACAGTCCGCGAGGGTGAGGTGAGAAACCTAATTTGCTTAATTGTGTGAATTCAAATCATTAATCTGTTTTTGAAGAAGCGCAAACTTTATAATCTGTTCACAAATTGGAAATATCTCGTTGTGTTGTTTATCAGTAAAATGGATTTACGAGTTCAAATTTTGTTATTGGGGCATTGCTTAGGTCCATGCTTTAATGGGGCAGAATGGTTCTGGAAAGAGCACTTTTGCAAAGGTCAGTGATTGTTAATTTCTCCTGGATGTGTTATATGGTATTATTCGAACGAAATCCACGTTTCCTGAAGTTTTATGTATATGAACCATTCTCTTTGCACCACATCTTCAATCCATGTATGTTTCTCTATGTTTTTTATGGTAATGCCCAAATGCAACTGGTCTGGTAGTCCATGTCTGTGTGATTTATCCAGTGTGCTTATGGTCACCAAAATAAAGAAACTGGTAGCTTCTTGAGCTTCATATGTAATCCATGTATGTTTCTCTATGTTTTTTATGATAATGCCCAAATGCCACTGGTCTGGTAGTCCATGTCTGTGTGATTTATTCAGTGTGCTTATGGTCACCAAAATAAAGAAACTGGTAGCTTGTTGAGCTTCATATGTATGCATTCATTTTTTTCTCAATGCATCTAAAAAGTGATGATGGTCCGTTAATATGGATTGGAGGAAGTATTATTGTTATTATTATTATTATTGTTGTTGTTATTGTTGTTGTTGTTGTTATTGATGTTCCAAATCCACTTTGACCGGACACAGGATTTAAGAAGTAATGGAAAGTAAAACGCGTGTGCTTGGATTCAATTAGAAAGAGAAAAATAATGATGACCACATATTCCTTGCCTAAAAAAGAGTGTGTTGTTTATTTTGGGACGGGCAAAAAAACGAGAGTGTTTATTTTGGGATGGACCAAGATTTATTATTAGTATTATTATTATTATTACAGTATTATTATTATTATTTCAAAAATTGCGTGCTAACTTATTTTGTTTAGGTCCTTGTTGGGCATCCAGATTACGAAATAACACATGGAAGTGTGACATTTAAAGGAGAGAATTTGCTTGAAATGGATCCAGAGGAAAGGTCTCAAGCTGGTATTTTCATGAGCTTCCAGTCCCCAGTTGAGATTCCAGGTGTTAGTAATATAGATTTCTTGAACATGGCATACAATGCCAAGCAAAAGAAACTTGGACTGGCAGAACTTGGTCCAATTGAGGTATGTAGACATGGTTGGCAGTGTTAAATTGTGATCTCTTATGATTATACTTTTCTTTGTACCCTTTAGGGTCTGTTTGGATGAGGATTTTAGAAGAGGACATGGCTCTATCTATTTCTTTATACTTCAGAATTTGTCATTTTATAAAAACTGATTCATTGTCCTAATATGTGATCATATAACATTCTGGTATCCAAAACAAAGTTTACAGTTTGATTTCACGGAGTTAAGTAATGTGTTGAAAAGTAAGAAAGCATGTGGTTGAAATTTGTTTAGAAGAGAGAAAAATGCTATGAGTCACAAAATCCTTCCCTTAATAAGAATGTAAGAAAGTGTAAACTTCATTTGGCATACCATCCAAATACTACCCCTCTAGACCCTTCATCCAAATAGACCACACTGAGTTCCTTATGAGTCTATTTGGTCTGTTTTTCCAAAGAAGAATCTGAGTAACTTCAATTTGCAGTTCTATGGATACATTAGCTCAAAGCTTGAACTTGTGAACATGAAGACTGACTTCTTGAATAGAAATGTAAATGAAGGGTTCAGCGGTGGAGAAAAGAAGCGAAACGAGATTTTACAACTAGCGGTATTACCAATGTCTTGCATCTTCTTTTTTCAGTCCGGATGGTTATGTTGTACAACATTTAGAATCTTTTCTTCAAGTCCTAATCTTTCTTGGTCACAAAAAAGTTCAAACAGCCCCCCCCCCAAGGGGGGTGGGACAGGGGTAATAACAATTTTCTTTGCATATATTAATTGTGTGACATTTGACAAATTCGCACATGCCAATGCTAAAAAACTACCGAGTATTTGGTTACAGGCCCTGGGAGCAGACTTGGCTATATTGGATGAAGTTGATTCAGGCTTAGATGTTGATGCCCTTCGAGATGTGGCAAATGCAATGAATAAGCTATTATCCCCCACAAATTCGGTTGTGATGATTACTCATTACCTACGATTGTTGGAGTTTATTAAGCCAGCCTTCATCCATATCATGGTAATTACCATAAATTTAAAGATAGCACGCAGTATATATAAGGATTTTCGCTGTTTTTTGTTCAATGGAGCGTTTGGTAGTCTTCACATTAACTTTTTTCATGTGAACTGAAGCGATGGCATGCAAGGTCTAGAGATCTAAACAAACTGCACAAACTCTTTCGAGTCGTACATTGTTGCATTCAAAGTGTTTATTTTGAACCATACCAAACGTGTATATTGCTGAATTTCTCCTTTTAAAATGTTACTTTCCTTTCTCTCTTCTCTCTCAGGAGGATGGTAGAATTGTGAAGACGGGTGATATATCCATAGCTGAAGTTCTAGAGAAAGAAGGGTTCAAAGCAATTTCAAGTGCATAGTTCACATCATACTTTCCATGTTTTTTAATATATTTCTGAATGATGCCTATTTTTCTTCTTATTCTTGTTGTAGTATAAAGAAAATTGTGTTTAGTGCAAAATTTATATATTATACACCCAACACTGTAATCCATGTGACATTTTTGTATTTTTTGAAGGTATTATTCTGGAAAATACTGTAATTCCATTTAGCCTTTGGTGCCTTGTGTGACTGCATGTTCATTTTAGTGTGAGGACTGAATTGAGAAGCCCATTTGCCTATGTGCAAGACCGGCGGTTTTGAAAGAAAAAAAAATACTCCATACCATCCAACAAATGGGTTCTATTTCAATTTAGTACTCCGAACTATAATTAAAGTTATTTTCAATCTAATTTATTTGTAATGTTGTAATATTACAAAATATAATACACCCATAGTATATTTTTTTTAATCCACACAAATTAATTATAAAATATAAGATGATAAGATCATTTTATTTTATCGAATAATCATCAAAACATACACCATATAAAAAGCTACTCGGTATTATTTAATCATGCGAACAATAATTTCAAACTTTTCTTCGGGTATAACCATACTTAATATTTTTAAATCTATTTGTTGTTTGACTCAAGCTTAGCATAGTCAATTTGGTTGGGCACAACAATTTACCAAAAAAAAAAGTAAACATGATAAATATTAGTCTTTTCTCGATTAGGACCCTTTTAAGAGAAAAACATACCATTATGTAAGCCACTATTCCTTACTCAATACTTTTATGAAAGCAAAACGAAGTGAGAAACATATATTGAGACGAAAACGAAAATGAGTAATCTTTGTCTCGTAAATAAACAGTGAAATTTGCACTAAATATGATTAAAACATATTGACTTTCCTAATGTAGGACTTAAACTTTTTTATTTCCTAAATAGGACTTAATAATCACTTAGTAGAAGAAATAATGTCCAATGATGGACATTTAGTTGAATAATGACTACTTGATAATGACCAAATGTCCTATATTAAAAATAAAAACATATGGTCCTATGTTGGGAAAGTCATTATATTTTTGTCCTATTTAGGTAAATTTCTCAAATAAACACTCATCGGATGTACAAAAAAACATTCTACCAAAGAAGTGTGAATATGATATTTTCATTTTCTAGCTCTTCAAGTAGTCAATTTCGAATCCGTACATTTCCTAGCACTTCAGCGGGAGAGGGGAGAAAATTATGATTCAACACAAAAACAAACTCATGCACCAGTGTTTTTTTTCTCTCTTCCTTTTGATAGTTTTTCATGGCACAAACACAAGTTATGAAGAAGAACTATGTGAAAGCGAAATGTGGCGAAACAAATTATGAACCAACCAACCAAACCAAACCAACCTTGGGTTCAATCCCATCACGAGTCACGTTTTTCTAGCTTTTCAATTTCTTCTCGGTGTCGTTCTTCAGCTTCCTGTCGCTCCCTCTCCTCGTCCTCTTCATCCTCCATCTCATCAAGATCTTCAAACTCCTTGCTTGCTGCCATGGCTTTAACGACTGGGTCTCTAAGCTCGGAGATCAAACCACCACCAACTCTGTACTCTTCTTCATCCCCAATCAGAAATAGTCGCTGGTCTGGCCCGCTGGCCATTGGTATGTCCACTGCCAATAACTTCATGTCGTACTGCACAAAACAAAGGAATAGAAATAGTGTGAAGAAGAAGTAGCCGGAAGTAGAAGTTGTTTCTAAGAGACACCGGTTCAAAAAAACATAGATAAAGTTTAAAAAACATTTACTTAGGAATTTAATTGAATGGGAAGTACCAAACAACCTCTAAGGAAAAGGTTGTGCCGTTAATGTATACTCAATGACCATGGCTAATCTTTGGTATTTATTGCCAATGGAGCTAAAGTACTCATTATCGTCAATGTTTTATCATCAGGTAAACAATGGAGTAATTGAAAAAGACAATCATAATGAACTTCCTTTGCTTCTTTCTTTGAAAATTTGGTTTGGGTGGTAAATGCATCAATGCATTGACGGTCTAAAGAAAACAACCTATTTGTTTTTTACGTAGTACATGGGCGAAAGTGCATGCACAGCTTGACCCCAAAACTCCAACGAAGTTGGGATTATGCGGTGTATTGTTGAGGGTGGCTAGTCTTTCTAGAAGCAAAAATTGTTCGAGTTATGCAGAGCACCAAAGAGTATGACCTAAATATTCAGTAATACTAAAAAATTGGTCAAGATAACCTGAGACATAAAAAACCATCATAAATACAGAGCAAAGAACAATAGACTAAGAGGGAAAACACAAAAGAGGAGCAACTAAAACCTGGCCTTTCTTCTTCTTGACTTCAACGCTCACCAAGCCTTTCCTCTCAGAGCCTCGTATAGGGAAAATCAGAAAACATCTTTTGCCTCTATACCGTGGCTTGAAGTTCTTGAGTGTCAAGCCACCCCCTGACATCACATATGCTCTAAGGTCTGTCCCTGCCAAAGGAGCACCCATAACTTCGAGAATTCCAGCAGATGTATTGAGCCTTCTCATGGCCATTCTATAAGCTTTATCTGGATTGATTGTGAATCGTGATCGTAGATACAATCCCTTACCAAAGAAAATTAAAACATAAATGAGAAAGAAAGCCATTTTCAATTAATCATTTGCAAAGAAAGCCATTTTCAGGTTAATACTCAAGAAACAATTGATTAACATAAACCCTGAGTTGTATGAGTTTACAAGAACAAACCGAATAAAATCCCACAAAAAGTAGGGTCCGGAGACGGTGTGTGAGGGTGTGTGTACACAACCCTTACCCCTACTAAGGAGTAGAGGGATTGTTTCTAAGAACCCCAGTTCAAACAAAAATTTGCTGACAACAATCAAATAAGAGCACACTGCACACAGACTCATGCCGATACTAGCAACTTTACCCAAAGCACATAAAACATACATGCACTATTTGCAAACTAAAGCTAAGAGCACACCAGCATAAACTACAAATTAAGACCCAAAGGTCAAGCCAACTACTCTAATCCTAGATCTCCATACATTCCTATATGAGTTTAATAGTGAATATTTGATTCTAAATTTCTGATGAGCCACATTTAAATAGTAGCTAGAGTGTACTCACACATGGTAAATTTTGTAGCAGATTCAAACAATGACACTCAATATCAAATGCAATTACATAGCATACGAGATAAATCAATTGGTAAACAAGAAAGTAACCAAAACAAGTGTTCTCTCAGTCTCATAAAAAAGAAAGGCATGTTTTACAATGGTGCAACTCATAATTTTAGTAAGGCACAAAGGTACTCCATACGTATGTATTTTTAAATTTATTTGTTAGTTTATCTAACCTTAACTCATTTGACTCAGTTGAGACACTCGTTTCAACAAAAAAGGATAAAGATTAGGAAAATTTGCTTCTTTGTTCATGCACTTTTACTCCCTCCATCCACAAATAACTTTACACTTCCCATATTTGGATGTCCCAAAAAATTAAACTTCTACGTTAAAACAAATTCAACCTGACTACTTTTCACTTTTTAACACTAATCTTAAAGTCCGTGAGGTCAAACAATGTTCTTTGTGGACAGAGGGAGTAAGAACAAAGAACAAGCAACAGCTAGAGAAACAGATGAGGAAACACTCACAGCAAATGCTACAATGGCAGTGGAAAGAGCAAGGAAGCCATACTTAGCCATGCCTTCGGAAAGGCCAACGAACGTGTTGGCAACCCCAAACAAAACCCTCCAAAGCAAAACGCAAATCAAAACCCCAAATGCACCAAACAACACCAAAGAATTCCTCTTCCAGAATGCCTCCATCTGCAAGCCCACCGCTTCCCTGTACCTCGAAAAAATCTGCTTCAAAGGATTCGACCCCGACTTCCCCACACTCATCTTCGATCCCAGATCGAAACCCTTCATTGAAAACCACCTCAACCCTAATCCACTCCTCGCGGCAGCCAATTTTCCACCTGTGTATAGTTCCCGACTAGGATTTAGGGGAAACTTGGGAAACGGGGACGAAGAGAAATGCGGTCTATGTGACAACCATGTAGCTGGAGAAACTGGGGTTTGCAGAAATCCCTTATTGCGAACGACGAATTGCGATAAGCCTACGCCGGCGCCGGCGCTTGAAGTGGCATTATGGAGCGATGGATTTGATGAAATGGACTGATACATGTTCCTGATCATCATCAGCTTTGACGATGATGAAGATGATGCTTTATACATCCTCTCAGCCTGGAAAAATGTTGCTGTTATTTCGATTCAAGAACCAATTTACTACCTACTAGAAATCGTTCTTCTTCGCTGAGCCCTGAAAATCTCTCTTACCTGGCTTCTTCTTCTTCTTCTTCGCTTCTGGTAAGAAGCTCCACCGACCCGGAGTTTTGGATTTGGGCTGGTGTTCTTGCGTTAAACGGGCTTTCTTTATTTTTTACAGGTTGGGCCTGGATCGAACTTTGGTGCCTTGCACAAATAAAAGTAGTGTTGAATTCAGGGAGTGGGTTGACTTTTCCGCTTCACAGACGAGGCCGGGTCGGGCCCGTTTGAATATGCGACCACTATGTCTCTTTTGTAAGCAAGTTGAAAAAGATTAAAACTACCGGAGTATGTGATAGAAGGAGAAAGTTTGAAGGATAATTTAACTAAATATGATTAAAATATAATGAATTTCTCAATATAGAATCACATGTTTTTATTTCCCAATGTAGGACCATTGATCATTATCTATTAGTCATTATTCAACTAAATATCCAGCATCACTTGGACATTATTATTCTCACTAGTCATTATTAAGTCCTATTTATGGAATAAAAAGATTTAAGTCTTACATTGAGAAATGACTTATGTTTTAGTCCTATTCAGTGCAAATTTCACATGCTTCAAGCCCATGCTTGAAGCTTTAGATTTCAAACGTATCATCTTTAGTTTTATTTTTGACATTTTCATTGTTGACATTATGATACATAATTTTATATTTAATGTTAGCATTTTTATATCACAATGTTTCTAGACCTTGTTCATATGTTTTACATCACTTAACATTTAGGATATTAGTAATATGAGATAAATTTTGTTATTGTGTGTCGGTATTTTGAAATCTTTACAAAAATTTAAAGCCCTGATTTAAAAAAGGACTGAGATCGTATTATCTTTAATTTATTCTTATTTGAATCAGATCTAGTTAGATCATAACCATATCGATAAGATATATGGTACATCCGGATGTACCTAGAGATAGGTATATACGGGGAATACTCATTCTGAATTAGTACTCATTCTCGTACAAATATAAATATTCATTTCGAAATACGTAGTACTCATTCTGAAATAAGGTAGTACTCATTTTAAAATAACGAAGTACTTATTTTTACACATTTGTTTAATATAATTATAATAAATAGCGTAGTGTTTATTCTTAAAAAAACAACACTTATTCTAAAATAAGAAAACGCTCATTCTCAAATAAAGTTTTGTTCAATTCTTTCACAATTGAAAAATTTAGTTTCATCATCATCCTCAGGCATCTTCATCCCTCCTCATTTCGTCGGATCTTCCTCGATTTCATCGGATCCACAAGGTAGGGCAGTCCAATTCAGTCGATTAGATCTCCCTCCCAAAATTGCACGGTAAGGATTGGATCTCTGCGCCCATCCATCGATCGCCATCATCATCTTCTTCCATGATCCACGCCGGCTCGGATCTATGCTCCCAATCTTATCAGATCTACCTGCCATCGCAGGCTCCTCTCTTATTCCTCTTCAATCGCCGGATGCCATGCTCCGACCCGTCTCCCGCTTCTGTCTCTTCTTTTTCCGATCAGGTTCTGCTAAATTTTTCCAGATGTACGTGAAGAACTGTATAGTCGGATGTAAAATATAATTTGCGAATCATATCATATCGAAAGTAACTTTAAATATATCTGGAATCAGACCCAAAAAGATCTTTCATGAAATCAAATTAATTGCTGGTAGCCGATTGAGAAAATCAGCACCTTTAAGTACCATTTAGGCCACTAATTTAACTTGCTTTCCTTATCCGTCAATCTCTGACCATGCAGGATTAATAGAGAACTGCAGACAAGGAGAGTATCACATAGAGATTGGATAAAACTTCTAAAGGGCTACGAATCGCAGGCAGCGGGCGATGAAGATCCTCCATATCCCGTGCTTGGACGACAACTATTCCTACCTGTAAGAACACCTCCTCTTTCGAAGCATCCCCCGATCCGGCCACTTCTTCTCCGCCGTCTTATTTCTAATTCTAGGGTTCAGCCTGGAACTCTGTTTTTCCCTATTATGTCGCCCAATTGTGTGCTTACAGGATCATAGACGAATCCACTAAGGAAGCCGCTGCGGTGGACCCGGTTGAGCCGCACAAGGTCCTCAGTGTGGCGGAGGAGAACGGCGTTGATCTCAAACTCGTCCTCACCACTCACCATCACTGGTTCGTCAATCGTCATCTCCGATCCATTTCCATCATGTTTCCTACTCTGTTTGTATTTCTAGACTTCTTCGTTGATTTTCCTGTTCAATGTTTAGTTTCCCCCCCAATGAATTGCTGTTTATTATTATTACTATTATCACCATTTGTTCTGCACGATATTAGGAACACGTATTCCCTCTATTCCAAAAAGAAGTTCTCGTGTGAAAATGTTCATGATTATGAATGAATTATGATAGGGATCATGCTGGTGGAAATGATAAACTGAAGCAGTTGGTACCTGGAATAAAGGTTTTTGGTGGTTCAACTGATAATGTGCAGGGTTGCACAAATAAGGTTGAAAATGGTGACAAGATATCTCTTGGAGCTAACATCAACATATTATCTCTTCACACAGCTTGGTAAGTGTATTGAACCTTTGAAAGTCTAATCTATTATGGTAAATTATCTTCTTCCTATGTGTAAGATATCACCTTGTCCTTCAATTGCAGCATTTTGTACTATTACCGTGAGTCAAACTGACTTATCTTCTCAACTAATTGTGTTTAATACTTAATATTTATATTTAAAAATTTAGTATCTCACATTTTTCGTATTTTCGGAGTATATTGAATTGACTGAATATATTTGTTAGAAAACATCAGCTGGAAATAACCTAAGGTCAAGTAGTCCTGCAAGTGCTTTACAAATAATGGAAGAGGAGTAATAAATATTACTTTCATAACTAAGCAAGTTCTTCGAAAATGCATGCAAATGGATATCACACTGTTTTTTAACCTCGTGCCTCTTTATTGCTTCCGGTGCCACTATATCAACTCTTTAGAATGTTTTAACTGTTTCTTAACTGCTATTTACAGCCATACTAAAGGTCACATAAGTTACTATGTAACTGATAAAGAGGCAGATGAACCTGCTGTTTTCACAGGAGATACTCTGGTAAGTGTGAGGTTGGTCACCATTAAAATTAGACATAACATTTGATGATATCTTGTACGAAAACATTACTAAAAAAGTTGAAAGATTTCATAATTTTAATTTATTTGTATTTGCTAAATGCTAATTCATGCATTATTGATCCAAATGGCCATATTTCAGTTTCCCAAAATTATGTTTTGTTCCTCCTAGATTTCTATATACTAAATTTCACTCTCCTTTTACCATCTGGGTCTGAATCCTGATCTCTCTATAGTTCATAGCAGGTTGTGGTAAGTTTTTTGAGGGCACTGCAGAACAAATGTATCAATCACTTTGTGTGACATTGGCCTCATTGCCCAAGCCAACTCGAGTATACTGTGGCCATGAGGTAATATATATATATATATAATATTTTGCAAAGTGTTATGCAGATAAAGTTACCTTTATATGTTGGGCGAATTGAGTGTGAAGGCTCGACCAAGAAAGGCAGCCAGCCCTAGTCTTGGTTCGACCCATATGGCAGTAAATTAGGTTTTTAAATTTTAATTTAGCCGGCCCTAAATCTCTCTGTGGGCTTGGGCCTAACTTGTGGATTAAGCTTTTAGCCCTAGTTTAGTCTTCATAAATAGTGATCTCTATACTTTTAATTCTGTGAGCACCTGATTAATAAAAACCCTAGTTGCAAAGTGGATATAGGTCAGCCGACCGAACCACTATAAATCTTGTGTTCCGTTTTTCTGTTTTGATTTCAGTTTTGTGTGTGTTCTTGTTTGGTTTGGGATTGCTATTCATAGATACCCCAACATTATAATGGAATCACAATTATTAAAATTTAAAATGCTATTAAGATCTTGAAAATGTGTCAAACATGTTCAGTTTTGTATGACGCTATTACTTTGTTTCTAAAGATTTAAAGATATTGCATAATCTGCGGATAATCCTTAACTCTTAAGATGGAGTAACACTCCTCCAGGCCCAAGCATATAGGGCCTGATACACCCCGTCTTTGGCACGGTACCACCGAAAATGCTGATTTGGTTTCTACGCAAACATTCTTGTGTTCATAGTATTTATTATATTAGATATTTAGATCCTATTTATACGTTTCAGAATATCTTGCCAATCGATTAAATCCATCAACTTGATTTGGTTGCTTACTCAAATATTTGGGAAGTTTTGTAATGTGTTAAGTAATTAATAAAAAGGGATATGTTTTACACCCTCCATTCTATAAAAAAAAGTGTACTTTGCTGAGTGTACAACTTTTTAAATTTACCAAGGTACAAGTGTACAACTTTTTGAAAGCACTAACTTTACCTATTTTTTTAAGAAGTTGAGAAATTGAATTTTTTTTATGAGACAATAAGTCTCTTTTTTTATCTGACATAGGGAGTCTTGCATTTGAACTAAGATTAGAATTGGAATAACTAATTTAAACCACACTGCTCCCGTCTCATAAAAAATTACATGTTTGACCAGCACAGTTAATAAGAAAATGAACCACATTACTTTTTCGTTAAACATAAACATGAAGCTTATTTTGTAATGGGCGAGATAGGAAAGAATAACATTTATTTGGGACCAAGAGAATGTTTAAGTTGGGTTAAAAACTTAAATATCTAGAGTTTAAACTCGTCTTTTGAGTGTCTGTATCAATGCTTGTTATTTGAGGCGTCCTGTTCGGATTTTTTGTAGACTTTAAACATTTAGCAACACACACGCACACCCCTCCCCCACCGGAATTTGGGATTTTAATGATTTTGTTGTTTCTTATGCAGTACACGGTAAAGAATTTGCAGTTTGCTTTGACAATTGAACCAAACAATGCAAAAATAGAGCAAAAGCTTTCTTGGGCTCAGTGTCAAAGAAATAGAGGGCTTCCAACTGTTCCATCTACCGTTGAGGAAGAATTGAGCACTAACCCTTTCATGCGGGTTGATAATCCAGAGGTTCAGGTTAGTTTTATATTGATTTGAAGTGCTCAGGCTGCTTCTTCATAATCTCACTTTAGTGGGTGTCATGACAAAGAATGGATGGACAATGCCCAACAATGTAGACAGATAATTGAATCACTGTAAACTTCACTGGAGATAGATAAGATTAATAATATTAAAAAAAATTGAATACGGTAAATCAAATATTAATAAATAAAAATATGAGCATAATACAAGATTTTTATTGGTAACAGGCTCGAATGAAAGACAGTTGAACTCTAGAAAGTATTGAAAATGCAGAATATTAGAAGTGCATACTCCCTCCATTCCAAAAGGAACTAACATTTGCAAGTAGGCCAGGTGTTAAAAGTGGGTTAAATATTATGGGGTAATATGTTACTTTTTGGGGAAAGACCATCTGATAGGATGTAGGGTAGAATTTATGTGGCTAGTTGGGGGTGAAAATGTCTTTTCAATTGTTGACTTTTTTAAAAAGGGCAATGAGAAGATGGCTTTGGGCTGAGAGAGCTTTAACTTTTCTTTGTTGCTCGAGCCGGGGTTCTCTTGTAAACAACCACTCTACTTTCGATCTCTGCTTACACACACCCTCCCTAGACCTTGCATTCGTGGGGTTCTACTAGATTGTTGTTGTAAACTCAAATGAAGACAAATTGAAACCGAAGTACAAAAATATACAAAACAAATAGTACATTTGTAATACCCCCCCCCCCCCAACGGAAAGATAATTGGAAGGGTTGAGGAAGTAACTTCTTTTGAGTACTCTCTCTCTCTCTCTCTCTGCACGTTTATTCTATATATTCTCTCTGCCCCATAGTTATCTTCTTGCGTGGTTGTGTTGTGTGTAGATAAAAGAGAAATAATATGGACAAAATTTTTTTCTTAAAAAAGTTGGAGATTTTGGGATAACCGTAACCCAAACAGGAATGTAAGAATATATATAATCATGAGACCGAGGGACTATATGTTATTCTCCACGATTTTCACTATTTATGTATGCCCGAGTTGCACATTGAAAGTCTCCATAGTTTGCCCAAAAATGAGCCACTTTTTTCTTCATAATTTTGTGTAAACCTGTCCATATATGGAATTCACTTCTTAGTATTTGGTCCTAGGGTCAAGTCTGTTTCTCGTACGACTTTTTGTATGACCTAAGATAGACATGAGCTTCTTTTAGGTGTTTTTCATTTAAGTGTTGCTTGATTCGGGAGGGACTTTTTCAAAGTGTTGAATAAGTTCTATGAATTTACCTTCCTAGTTTTTTACACGGCATTAAGAAAAAAACTTCAACCTATGAGCTCGAATTTTATTAGCTTCGGTAAAGTTTGGGAGTACGAAAACCTTAGCCCTGCAAAGCATTTGCCTATGTCTATCACAATTTCTTTATATTATTATTTTTAAAATAATAATCACGTATTTTTGAAATTGTAAGATTTTTTATGGAAGGAAGAAAGTATATAGTTGCATCATTATTTACATAATGCCAAGGTGACAATTTACTTAATTTGTTTTTTTGTTAAGTTTATGTGAGAATGTTTATGCATTTTCAGGTGTGTCTAAAGTGCATTATTAAAAAAACTCGACCAAGTTTTATGTTGTGATCTCCTTTCCTGATGGGCGAAATATATGCTATCTTATTGTAAACATAAATAAGAGAATTTGGTGTTTGTATATCTGCTTTGTATGTGGATTGCTTCTATCATATGTACTTTAGTTGCATCATAGGCTTTTTTCATATAAAGCAAATTAGTAAAAAACAGTGTGCATCTTTATAATAATGTACACCCTATTACTTATCTAATGTTCATCTTTCTTTTATGAATTCTCTCCATGAAAACTCTTCTTCGTACCTTATTTTAACATTTGACTTTGTTCTATTTTGTGTTTTGTTTTTGTATATTATCCTAGTGCTGACCAAAACAAACATGCATATATAATTTAGTTCAATATCTTATCATTTGGTTTCACAACATACTCGAAAATAGATTATGAAGTTAAAGAAAATATTGTAATTTGAATGGTGTTTTGAAGAAGAAAATAACACTCCGTTTCGTCTCAAATTTGATACGGCCAAACTATCAATTTTGTTTTTTTTTACATATTTTTGTTTATAATTTGATCAAATAATATAGACTCGTCACCGCACACACTCCTTTTTTTGTATAAATTCTTTTTAGTTTTAAATAAATAACTTGTACCCGGAGTATTTTTTGTTTCTACATCAACTTTGGTAAATTGGCAAAGTTGACTTTGAGTTTCTCAAACTATACATTAAACTATGGTTGGAAAATAAAATAAAAAGGTCCTTTGCATGTACCGGAGTATCACTATTCACTTGTTATATTCAAAAAATAGTAAATCAATACTCCATATAACAAACATGGTTGATGATGTTCCTATGAGAGTTGATTTCTTCACTTGAAAGCATGTTTTCCTTCCGTCCCAAATTATATTATCCAGTTTCAGTTTACGATATGGGTAATTATTTTCAAATCGTTTTATATTAAAAAATTATAAAATTTAAAAATAAAAATTACATATTCAAATATTATATCAAAAATTTTACAAAACTAGTGGTGACATGACTATTTTATTTTATCAAACGGCTATTGAAAAAAAAAGTGAATGAAGTTTGATTGTGTAAATAATAAATAGATAATTATTTAGAGACGGAAGAAGTAATTTTCTTAAGTCTTCTACCTGTATATATTATCTTTTATTCTTTTGCGTGTATTTGATAAATCATATTCCGTATATTGGTACAAGAAATTTAGTTTTGGTATTCCTCAATAATTTTAACCTTTAGAAGTGAGTATTTTGATATCTATGAAATTTATAGATTAAAAGTTAGAAAATAGAATAAAATTGCGTCATTAATCATCATCGCCCTTATTATCACGTTTCTGTTGGTCCCACACAACCATCACTTTCTTGTCCAACACTATCATTATCATTCTCACCGATATGTCAATTGTTTGAATTTTCACTTTTATTTGGTTTCGTTTTAGCTTCCAATATCATACGAACAACTCATTTTCTTCATAAAAAAGGCTTAAATGATGTTTTCCTGATGTCAAGCCCTTTCTTAAAAAGTCATACATCGAATTGGAGTCGTCACTTGTAGGACCTTAGGCGCTACCAACTCTTCTAAAACCAATTGGTGTTAGAAGAGGCGCATACCCTAGCCTTATAGTGCATTCAACACACAAGCGCCCACGACATTCGACTGTGACTTGGCCCACATAGCCTCCGCCACGGGACAATTGCTGCACACATGGCCAACAATCTCCCCCTCAGCAATTGCTCCCGCTGGGAATCGAACTCGTGACCTTGGCTCTGATACCACTCGTAGGACCTTAGGCGCTACCAACTCTTCTAAAACCAATTGGTTTTAGAAGAGTTGGTAGCGCCTGAGGTCCTACAAGAAGAGTTAATTTTTTAAACAACACGAGACTATAATAATTTTTTTTAGATTCTTCCGTGAAAATGATATGTAAAAGTAATAAAAAGAAATAAGAGTAATACAGGCTATAGAATTGGAAAATATATATACTTTTATAGTAAGATTTAAATAATTAAAATAAGCAAAAGAATACACAAGTAGATATATTTTTGGTTTATGAAATGTAAACACACTACTTTTTTTAACAAAAAGTTTGATTAAAAAAAAGAAGGTGGCCAAACAAACAAGGCATTTAAACGTGAGACTTGTACAAGGTGGAATCATATTTTCTCTTCCTCCCTCTCACGTCTGCTCAACTATTACCCAGCCCTCTTCTCAAAATTTTATCTGATTTTTCTATTTGTAAACAGCCTTCGTCCCCAAGAAATTCCCAAGGGAAAAGTAAAATTATCTCCAGAAATTCAATCTTCCGGCGGTTCTCCAATGGAAGCGCCGCATGTTTCCGGGTCGGATTCCGCTTCTTCTTCGTCTTCTCCAGCCTCGCCGAGCTCTGCTGCTGTTTGGTCTCCACTGCGGTTCTTTCGATTCCCGATTTCCACTTTACTAGAGCACTCTGGAATCCTCCGGGTTCTTCCTGAAGGCTACGAAAGTATAGCGCCGGAACGGAATGTTGCGGAGTCGGAGACTCCGGATTTAGGTTCCGGTGAAGGCGGGGAGCTTACTATTAGAATAGTTGGAAATGGCGAGCAGGATCGGGTTGGGATTGAGGGAGAGGCGGTAGTGGACGGCGGTGAGACTGCGGTGGAGGAGAGGGGTGTGGGTGGTGCTGAGGCGGCTTCAGTGACTGTGGATTCCGGCGGGAATGTGGCGGAGAGTGTCAGCGGGGGTACTAGGGATTCTTCTTATCAGAGGTATGATGTGCAGCAGGTTGCCAGATGGATTGAGCAGATTCTTCCTTTTACGTTGCTTCTCTTGGTGGTCTTTATACGCCAGCATTTGCAAGGTATACTCAAGTTTTGCTGGGATTCTTCAACATTTCATACAATTTCTAGTTCTTCTAATGCACTGTTGTTTTTCTGTGATATTAACTGATTGGAATGATTATTATATTTGAGATATCTGCTAGTTTGATGTACTTGGTTGTGTTGCATACTTGCATTGCTGCGCCTTTATTCATATGTTTTCAAGTGGGAAGTGTTTGATAATCCATAGTAGGCTATGAAATATGATCATCATATTGGTTACTGTGGGAAAATGCGAATTGATTCTGTAATGATAAAGAGTGGGAATTATTCCTAACTTCAAGTTGAGGGAATTTTGGTACTTCTCACTTCTGAGTGTTGCTTTAGTGTGAACTGAACAACTGACAATAAAAGTGCTTAGAAAACATGAACAATATGTAGTAAAAGTTTAAATGCTTAGATTTCTGCATATGATGGGGTTTAATCTTTTTTTCTTCTTTTTGGTTTAACCCCGTTTCTGAATGATGGAGTTTTGCAGGTTTTTTTGTAACAATTTGGATCACAGCTTTCATGTTCAAGTCAAATGACATTCTTCGGAAACAGACAGCTCTAAAGGTATGTGGATCATTCCGTTTAATGATCTTTCTTTTGCATATTACAATGTCCTACTGAAAAGAAACAAATTAATCTCGTAATGTACATACTCTTGAAGGGAGAGAGGAAGATGTTTGTGCTTGTTGGTTATTTACTCGCCTTCATGCTTCATGTTATTGTAATCTACTGGTGGTATTGGAAGGCCAATCTTTTCTATCCATTACTCCTGCTTCCCCTGAAGGCCATCCCTCCCTTCTGGCATGCAGTTTTCATTGTCCTAGTGAATGGTATGAATATTGGCCTAAATTGATTGATATGACTATGAGTATAACTATGACCTAATATTTGATTTTTAGATAAGCAGATTTTACTATTATGGGACAGAAGGGAGTGTTTAGCAATGTGGATCATGAAAATAAAGTTAATTTTTGTTTGAGAATGTGAATATATGTATGCTATAAGCCTATAATGAATAATAAAAATGAAACTCATGAAAGCATACTTGACAATTTTGATAGCCTGGTTTCATTATTTTGGTATAGTGTCTGGATATTTTGATCATTGCATTCACCAAATTAGCTAAACTTGATGACATATTATTTAAATTAAAAAAAAATTCTTGTGCAATGTTATATTCGCTTCATATTTTAATTTTCTTAGTACTCATTACTTTCAGACACTATGGTGCGGCAAACTGCAATGGCTGTTAAGCTGGTGCTTCTAATGCATTATAAGAATGGAAGGGGTCACCATTTCCGGAGGCAGGTAAGTTTTTACACAAATAATAGCATACACTTTTTGGCGGTTTACAACATTGGTTTTAATTAAACCTTCTTCTTTCACAACTCTTGCCTATTATGGATTTCTCAGGGCCAAATGCTAACACTAGTTGAGTATACCCTGTTGCTATACCGCGCATTGTTACCCACTCCAGTCTGGTATAGATTCTTTCTCAATAAAGAATATGGGAGCCTATTTTCATCACTGACCACTGGGTTGTACTTAACATTCAAGCTTACAACAATAGTTGAGAAGGTAATTAAGTTTGAACCACCCAAGCCTGCAAAATGAAATCTTAAATGCAGATCTTTCTTATGGCCTTTCAGGTTTGTTAATCACTATCCTGCTTGTATGTTGTGATTCTGATTAGGTCCAATCCTTCTTCACTGCTTTGAAGGCACTATCAAAGAAAGATGTCCACTATGGAGCTTATGCTACACCTGAACAAGTATTGTGCCGTTCTGCTTGAAACTTTTAAGTGTGTGTTATTTGTACCTACGAGAGTAAAAAGGCTAACATATACCAGCCATTTTTTGTGGGATGGGGCACAGTAACCTGCCTATTTTTTGTTTTATAAATAAAATAATTTTGCTGATTAAAACTTGCTATTTTCCATCTCTTATAAAGCCAAAGATTCACTATTTTTGGCTTTGGGGTATAATGGGGTAGAGCAAAATGACTCTTTAAATTGTATGACTTCTTTTAATGGTGAAGTATCAGTCAGTCAACACAACTTTCAACACGCATCAATGTATCATAGGTCAGCTGGAAACAGCCATCCTCTATTAAACATAGGGGTCAGGCTGCGTACATCCTCCCCCCCCTCCCCGCA